ATGCAGTTGGCTTCTAGTGGTGCAGTGACGCATCCTAAAACCTTTTTATAATCTATCGATTAGATTTATGATTTGAACATTATAAAAGTAGGGTAGACATGTGGAGATTATCCGGCTGAACAAAACGTGCATTTATCAAAAAGGTTTGTTTTCCACAGACCTTATTTCCAGCTATTTTCCAAAACCCTGTGGAGAAATCCCATTGCTTTTTGTCGAGGGAACCAGCAGCTTACTTCCTGGTTTTAGGACGCGTCACTGGCTGCACCTCTCAATATGATGCCAATATAAACAAGGTCTTCTGTCGGCTCTGTACATCAATGCCGACCTATGGTGACAAGTAAGTGAAGAGCAGACAATATAAAGGTATTGGCGAAATGTCCCAGCAGTTTAGGATAAAGAAGGTTCTAATCAAATCAATTACATAGGCATTACATGTCTAACTCCTAATGACAGGAAGGCAGAAAGTGCATTATACAAAAAATAATACTCATAATAATAGCAGACATTTTTAACAATGACCACAATATCATTATTTTAATAAACCAAATATGAACAATTGAGGAAAATGAGGAAGAACTGATGATTCAAATGTTGTAGTACAAGTAGTAATGTAGTTTGTGCAAACATTACTATTGCAACAAATGTGTTAATTTTCTTCATTATTAGTCGATTTTTTTTTTGGACGAATGCTCCGGGCCAGTGGTTACAATGGTGGGGCCAGTGATAATATAATGCCAGTGGCATTTTACCCTTAATGTCTACCTCTGCGGTAAGTCACTAGCACCGCGGTGGGCCGGCGGTACCGAAGTGGGCCGGTCGAGAATCCCGGGCTGATTTGTAGTCCCAGTCCGCCCCTGGTTACACCCCTAAAACCTAGATATGTATTTTGGATGTTTTCTATCCAAAAGTCTAAAATAAATCATGCAAAATAGCCAGAGATCTAAAATAATAATAATAATAATTTGTTCCTTTGATGTCTTTCCTTAAAGTTGAACCATACACAGCTATTGATATAGTGTACCTTTCAATCAATTTGTAAACCAAACTCTATTGTAAAATTATAAGACTTGATGCTGTGCTTCAGAAACATTGAGCAACTAGAGTAACCTGGGAACCCCCACCTTGGTACAATCCCTGGTATTCCAGCTGTTTATAGAACAAACCTGAAAATAGAATGATGAAACATAGACAAATAATGTCACAATAACGTCCAATTCATTAACTAATAGTGTTTACAGAAGCAATGGCAGAGTGCTTTGGGTGCCCTTTTTTGTCATATCTCCTTGTTGACATTTGAATTTGTCAGTGCATGTCAGGACTCCGAAATGTTTTCATAATCTGGTTTTATTATAAGCAACACTGGCCAATGTTGAAAAATGAAGTCAAAGAGACAACAACGCGGCCACCGCGGCCATCCGCTCGGCAGACCGGACCCAAGTGGACCACACACAGTGTTTCAGCAAAGCTCCGCATAAAGGAGATATTAGAATACAAGCAAACTGCAAACAAGCCCCCTCAGGCTACTCAGCGGGCTTTCTCTGCATGTTTCGATTTGTATAAACAACGTCGTCACCGTGATAGCGTGATCGCGAAAGGCTTCTTTTAAATATACTGCACGTAGACAAAAACGGAATGTTTGCAGAAGATCAGGATTTGCACATCCTGTATTTCAAAGTGTGTTTTGTGAATGATGTCTGTGTTTGTGTGTGAAAGGGGAAAAAGAGGCAGAGGTTTCAATTTCATATTGTAAATGTTTATAGAGACCTATTTAAATGTATTATGTAACTGATAAATACTCTTAAAATATAATTGGTACACTCCGATTCTTTAGTTTAAAATCCATGGGAACTGTATTTCTAGCAGGATTTCCTCTTCGCTCCTGCTCTGACATGTAACCCCTGAGTCAGATTTGCATTGAGGAATCACCTCACTTTTCCAGTAACACTTACAATATCCGCCTCTTGTCTGTTTATGCTGAAGGTTTATGCAGCCAGACAAACAGGGTTATTTCAAGAGGGACCTTCTCCGTTTTCATGAGAGAGCATATGCAGATTATCATCTCTACCAGCGTCCTGATCCCAAATCAGCCCTTCATTACTGGAGCTTAGCTGAGCAGATACAGCATCAATATTAGATGACAATGATTGGAAGAGGTGTAGGGCCACTCATAAGCTTATAGGCCCTCACCCTCCCCCTCCTCACAGCACATTGTTCACAGCAGGGCCAAGAGATCTACATAAGACGGTATCAGTTAAGACAGATGCCCTTTATCTATTCATTCGTGGTAGTAATTAAGGAACTTTCTTAAAGTAAAGGACATATTTTGCATGTAAAATTGTGTAGAAGTCAGCACTGAAATGAAGCATTAGTGCATATTTCCTCCAATTAGTAGTATGACAACATTTTTGGGGAATTAGAAATGGGGTTGTTTTTTGCTTTAAATGTCTTTGTTCACACTAAAATCGCTCCACATGGTAATAAATACATTGAAGATGATGTTTGCATTCTGTGCACTGGCTACCATGACTAATACTGGCTATACCGAACCGCTAACCCTAACACTAATTTCTAACCAATCCAGTCCTAATGCCTAAATATTAACAACTAGGGTGACCGGGTGTCCTGCTTTGTGCGGGACGGCACAGCATTTTTATAATTGTTCCTGTTTCCCACAAATTGAGAAGATGGCCACCATTTGATTGAGTCGCCCAGAAAGTTGAAACTTGGCTTTTAACCAGTGGATGTTTAGAAAGCAAGAGAGGGCTATCACCGTTAGCTGTGTCACACGTCAATCAATAAAAAAAATGTATTTACTTATGGGTGTGTCCGGTAGAGTGCGGAAAAACCAAAAGAGGATTACTCAACAGAGAAGGTAAAAGCAGATAAAACAACAAACGTTTACCACACTGTGCAGCACTGCGATCATACAGGTCAGCAGTCTGTGGAGGTAAGCTCCAGTAATTCTTCCAGACTCTGAGATTGCAAAATAAATAATATTTGGATCCATCAAACAAAATATTTTCAAGCTCCTTACTTGCATAGTTTGTGCAAACAATGTAATTGATATTTAAAGGGGACCTATCATGCAAAATGCACTTTTTGATGTCTTTCATACATAAATATGTGTCCCCGGTGTGTCCGGGAACTCACGCAGCGTCAGAAAATACAACCCTCTCTCTTTTCCTCTGCACCCAAATCTCTAAAAACGGGGGTACAACGGAGCTGATCCAGATTTGCCGCCGATATGACGTCAAATTGGCGGCGGACCCACAGCACTATCAGAAACGTTGCTATCAGAAATAATGCCCGACTGTTTTTGACGTAATATGGTCGGTGTTTACATTAGCATCACTAACACTCAGAGCTAACCTGCATGTGTGTGAAGAAGCAGGAAATAAAAAGGAGCTCACCTTGTGGTACAACCGGCAAGAGAGAAAGCCTTTGAGCTCCATACTGTTTCAGAAATAATCCTTGATCTAATAATTCTTGCGTTTCATCACCGCAGCATTTTAGACAGTATCTGCCATGTCTCGCATGAGCTGGCATAAACTCGGACCC